CAGAGGCCAGGGGGTCACCCAGGTGAAGGTAAGCATCAAATTAACTGGTGTAATGCATGCAGAATTCTGGAGGAAGGTGTCAAGAACCTTTCTGACCCCCTGATGGACTCCAAAGACATGCTGGTAGGTTAATTGGCTCCTGTCTAAATTGACCGTAGTATGTGTACGTATGAATGTGAGTTAGGGACATTAGATTGTGAGCTCCTTGAGGACAAGGACTGATGTAAATGTACAATATACAGTATCTCACAGAAGTGAGTCCACCCCTCACATTTTTGTAAATATTTGATTCAATCTTTTCATGTGACAACACTGAAGAAATTACACTTTGCTACAATGTGACGTAGTCAGTGTACAGCTTGTATAACATGTAAATTAGCTGTCCCCTCAAAATAACTCAACACACAGCCATTAATGTCTAAACCACTGGCAACAAAAGTGAGTACATCCCTAAGTGAAAATGTCCAAATTGGGCCCAAAGTGTCAATATTTTGTGTGGCCGCCATTATTTTCCAGCACTGCCTTAACCCTCTTGGGCATTAGTTTCCCCAGAGCTGGTGGATGTTAGAGACCTTGCGCTCCTCCACCTTCCATTTGAGGATGCCCCACAGATGCTCAATAGAGTTTAGGTCTGGAGACATGCTTGGCCAGTCCATCACCTTTACCCTCAGCTTCTTTAGCAAGGCAGTGGTCATCTTGGAGGTGTGTTTGGGGTCGTTATCATGTTGGAATACTGCCCTGCGGCCCAGTCTCCAAAGCGAGGGGATCATGCTCTGCTTCAGTATGTCACAGTATATGTTGGCATTAATGGTTCCCTCAATGAACTGTAGCTCCCCAGTGCCGGCAGCACTTGTGCAGCCCCAGACCATGACACTCCCACCACCATGCTTGTACTCATCACCTGGTTGCTGCCGCACACACTTGACACCATCTGAACCAAATCAGTTTATCTTGGTGTCATCAGACCACAGGACATGGTTCCAGTAATCCATGTCCTTAGTCTGCTTGTCTTCAGCAAACTGTTTGCGGGCTTTCTTGTGCATCATCTTTAGAAGAGGCTTCCTTGTGGGATGACAGCCATGCAGACCAATTTGATGCAGTGTGCGGTGTATGGTCTAAGCACTGACAGGCTGACACCCCCACCCCTTCAACCTCTGCAGCAATGCTGGCAACACTCATACGTCTATTTCCCAAAAACAACCTCTGAATATGACACTGAGCACGTGCACTCAACTTCTTTGGTGGACCATGGCAAGGCCTGTTCTGAGTGGAACCTGTCCTGTTAAACCGCTGTATGGTCTTGGCCACTGTGCTGCAGCTCAGTTTCAGGGTCTTGGCAATCTTCTTATAGCCTAGGCCAGGGGTGGGCAATGTGCGGCTCTCCAGCTGTTGCAGAACTACAAGTTAGGCCATCTTTATGTAGAGCAACAATTCTTTTTTTCAGATCCTCAGAGAGTTCTTTGCCATGAGGTGCCATGTTGAACCTCCAGTGACCAGTATGAGAGAGTGAGAGCAATAACAACAAATTTAACATACCTGCTCCCCATTCACACCTGAGACCTTGAAACACTAACGAGTCACATGACACCGGGGAGGGAAAATTCCTATTCGGGCCCAATTTGGACATTTTCACTTAGGGGTGGACTCACTTTTGTTGCCAGCGGTTTAGACATTAATGGCTGTGTGTTGAGTTATTTTGAGGGGACAGCAAATTTACATTTTATACAAGCTGTACACTCACTATGTCACATTGTAGCAAAGTGTCATTTCTTCAGTGCTGTCACATGAAAAGACAGAATCAAATATTTACAAAAATGTGAGGAGTGGACTCACTTCCTTGAGATACTGTGTGTGTACAGGTGAAACTCGACAAATTTGAATATTGTGCAAAAGTTCATTTATTTCAGTAATGCAACTTAAAAGGTGAAGCTAATATATGAAATAGACTCATTACATGCAAAGCAAGATAGTTCAAACCATGATTTGTCATAATTGTGATGATTATGGCTTACAGCTCATGAAAACCCCAAATCCACAATCTCGGAAAATGAGAATATTGTGAAAAGGTGCAATATTCTCGGCTCAAAGTGTCCCACTCTAATCAGCTAATTAAACCATAACACCTGCAAAGGGTTCCTGAGCCTTTAAATGGTCTCTCAGTCTGGTTCAGTAGGAATCACAATCATGGGAAAGATTGCTGACCTGACAGTTGTGCAGAAAACCATCATTGACACCCTCCATAAGGAGGGAAAGCCTCAAAAGGTAATTGCAAAAGAAGTTGGATGTTCCCAAAGTGCTGTATCAAAGCACATTAATAGAAAGTTATGTGGAAGGGAAAAGTGTGGAAGAAAAAGGTGCACAAGCAGCAGGGATGACCACAGCCTGGAGAGGATTGTCAGAAAAAGGCCATTCAAAAGTGTTGGGGACTTTCACAAGGAGTGGACTGAGGCTGGAGTCAGTGCATCAAGAGCCACCACATACAGCCGGATCCTGGACATGGGCTTCAAATGTCGTATTCCTCTTCTGTTGGTGTTGGTCCATTGTGCTTCATTAAGTCCAGGGTCAACGCAGCCGTCTACCAGGAGATTTTGGAGAACTTCATACTTCCTTCCGCAGACAAGCTTTATGGGGATGCTGACTTCATTTTCCAGCAGGACTTGGCAGCTGCCCACACTGCCAAAAGCACCAAAACCTGGTTCAATGACCGTGGGATTACTGTGCTTGATTGGCCAGCAAACTCGCCTGACCTGAACCCCATAGAGAATCTATGGGGCATTGCCAAGAGAAAGATGAGAGACATGAGACCAAACAATGCAGAAGAGCTGAAGGCCGCTATTGAAGCATCCTTATCTTCCATAACACCTCAGCAGTGCCACAGGCTGATAGCTTCCATGCAACGCCGCATTGAGGCAGTAATTGCTGCAAAAGGGGCCCAAACCAAGTACTGAGTACATATGCATGCTTATACTTTTCAGAGGTCTGATATTGTTCTATGTACAATCCTTGTTTTATTGATTGCATGTAATATTCTAATTTTCTGAGATTGTGGATTTGGGGTTTTCATTAGCTGTAAGCCGTAATCATCACAATTATGACAAATAACTGCTTGAACTATCTTGCTTTGCATGTAATGAGTCTATCTCATATATTAGTTTCACCTTTTAAGTTGCATTACTGAAATAAATGAACTTTTGCACGATATTCTAATTTTTCGAGTTTCACATGTATGTATGTATGTATGTATGTATGTATGTATGTATGTATATGTATATATATATATATATATAAATAAATAAAAAAAAAAAAAGACACTGTGAAAATTGTGGGCACAATTGACAAAAGCATATTCTATTCATTATGTTCATGTACACTCACCGGCCACTTTATTAGGTACACCTGTTCAACTGCTTGGTAACACAAATTGCTAATCAGCCAATCACATGGCAGCAACTCAGTGCATTTAGGCATCTATACATGGTGAAGACGACTTGCTGAGGTTCAAACTGAGCATCAGAATGGGGAAGAAAGGGGATTTAAGTGACTTTGAACGTGGCATGGTTGTTGGTGCCAGGCGACTGGTCTGAGTATTTCAAAAACTGCTGATCTACTGGGATTTTCATGCACAATAATCTCTGGGGTTTACAGAAAATGTTACGAAAAGGAGAAAGTATCCAGTGAGCGGCAGTTGTGTGGAGGAAAATGTCTTGTTGATGTCAGAGGGGAATAGGCAGACTGGTTCTAGATGATAGAAAGGTAACTCATGTCAATATGGACCAAAATCTCTAAGGAATGTTTCCAACACCTTGTTGAATCTATGCCATGAAGAATGAAGACAGTTCTGAAGGCCCGGGACTAACATGGTAGACCTAATAAAGTGGCCGCTGAGTGTATCTTTATTACTAGTCTTAAAAAAAGGGATACAGATCAACAAAACACATTGGCTTCCCTTGGATCTTTAATAAATCTTTTTCAGTTGTTTTCAAAGATCAGTGCCTACTATGAGCAAATAGAAGATTGGGACAATCATGGTAATTAAAGAAGCAAATAAGGGCTTTTGGCCAAAAAAAGTGATAGGAATTGAAATTTTGGGTTGGCATGCCTCTTAACCATTTCCTGTCCGGCTCATGTACATAAACGGTCAGACGGGAGCAGTGCAGGAGCGGGTGGCCATTTATAAATGGCCTCTGCATTTACTGCTTCTGCACGCTCCCTGGGAGCACGTGGCACCGCGATCCAGAGCACCGATCACTGTATGGGACCTCTGTGTGAGGTTCCGACTCATGTGATCACTGATTGGCCAACATCCACTTTTGGGTGGAACTCCACTTTAACCTCTTCCCGTCTGGCCCATGTTGATAAACGGCTGGACGGGAGCGCTGCCAATGCGGTTGGGACGTTTCTAAACATCGCCCCACATCCACTGCCTGTGCGCGCTCCCTGGGATCTGGGACCTGTCCGGAGGAACACAGATCGCTGTATGGGACCGCGGTGTGTGATGTCCCAATTTGCATGTGATCCAATTCATATATCCAAAAATAGAAATGTAAAACATTTTTTTTGCAAAAATGATAATTTTTGGTTATAAACTAATTTGGGTTATTTTTTTTACTAAAAAGATATATGAATACATTTTGGCCAAGATTTATGAAGAGATTATTTGCTAAATATTATAAAAAAAAAACACTTTTTTTTCAAAATGTTTGGACTTTTTCATTTATATAGCAAAAAAATAGAAATCCCAGTGGTGAATAAATATCACCAAAATAAAGTTTCATCTGTCTCAAAAAAATGCTAAAAAAATTCATATGGGTACAGTGTTGCATGACTGCGCAATTGTCATTCAAAGTGTGATAGCGCCGAAAGCTGAAACTTGGCCTGGACAGGAAGGGGGTGAAAGTGTCCGGACTTGAAGTGTTTAAACCTACAGTTTAATAAAACGATTCTTTCTTTCAAGGTTTGGCAAAGACGCCTATATTTCGATACCTGTACTCAGCTGCTACTTCCCGTCACCAGAAGATCCTGTTTCTTGTGGGAACCGAGATGAGACATAAGATACGTTTTTTTGGAGAACCGTTTCCCACATTCAGAACATAGATATGGCTTCTCCCCCGTATGGACCTTCTCATGTGTAATAAGATACGATCGTTCTGAAAAACATTTCCCACAGTCAGAACATGAAAAAGGCTTCTCTCCGGTGTGAGTTCTCTGATGTTTGACAAGATTCGACCTTTCTGCAAAACATTTCCCACATTCAGAACAGGAAAACGGCTTGACCCCCGAGTGAGTTCTTTCATGCGAAATCAGGTGGACTCTCTGGATGAAGCTCTTCCCGCATGATGAACAGGAATACGGCTTTTCTCCTGTATGATTTCTTTCATGTGATAGGAGATGTGCCCTCTGGGTAAAACTTTTCCCGCAATCCAAACAGGAGTATGGTTTCATCCCCGTGTGAATCCTTTGATGTAGGACCAGGGTTTCCCTCTGGCTAAAACATTTCTTACACTCAGAACAGGAATATGGCTTCTCCCCCGTGTGGGATCTCTGATGAGAGGTTAGCGTTTCTTTTCGGGAAAAGGATTTCCCACATTCAGGGCAGGAAAACGGTTTCACTCCAGTGTGAGTTCTCTGATGTAAGATAAGAATGTCTTTCCGGGTAAAGCATCTCCCACACTCGCTGCAGGTAAATGGCTTCACTCCAGTGTGAGATCTTTGATGCAAGATGAGATTTTCCTTTCGGCCAAAACATTTCCCGCATTCAGAGCATGGATAAGGCTTCTCCCCCCGTAAGGGATCTCTGGTGTGAGGCGAGGTCCTCACTCTGGGTAAAACATTCGCTATGCTGAGAACATGAGAGGGTTTCAATCCCTCTACAATCTGGATGATGGGTGAAAAGGGGCGAGTAATCAGGAAAACTCCTCCAAGGACTAGATGGTAGATCGGCACTGGGAGGTGTCTGGTAGAGATTTGGGGAGGTGGGATTGTCTTCTATAGAGTCAGATGTTATGCCTTTGCCTTCTATTTTTCCAACTGGAGAGATAACAGGAGGTTTTTCTGGGTTATTTCCACTGTGTTGTCCATCTGGAGGAAATAAGTAAAAGAGAACAACTGCGGTCTAATTAAACAGATGGAAACTGTCTTTAAGCGAGCAACGGCTGAAAGTGCTAAATACAACCAAGTCTTGGACCTGGTCTTTCAGTGTCCTAAATTTCCTTCCCCACATCGTGAGAGATATCATCTTTTAACCATCCCGCCCAGCCTATAGCATATTGACGGCCGGGAGGGACACTCCTCGTTGTGACTGGGTGTCATATGACATCCTGTCAAAACGAACCGCTCCCGCGGCTATGACGCAATCTGTCGCCAGCTGTATCCACGGGACACAGCCTGTGACATACCACTACGCCATGTAACCGCTGTGACCAATCACAGTAGATCACATGTCAATTGTAGAGAGGCGGGGTGGTGATGTGACACCTTCCACCTTGTCCAGTCAGAGAAAGCTTTGCATTTATTGAGAAAACGCAGAGTGTTTTCTGGATGACACCCATGCCCAGTGGCTGGCCTGCTTGGTTCAATAAGCACAAGGCCAGCTTCACAGCACTAGACCCAGAAGCTAGTAGATATTGCTGTAGTAGAGGTGTCTACTACACTAATCTCTAGTGTCCAGAAGGATACCACAGGTATGGTATAGGCATAGTTACCTTGATTCAAACTGGACCAATGTAAAAATATCCATACCTGGAATTCTTCTTTAGCACCTTCTCGCCCGGCCTATAGCAGACTGATGGCCAGGCGGGACACTCACCGTTGTGACTGGGCGTCATATGACATCCTGTCAAAATGAGCAGCTCCCACGGCCGCGATCTGTCGCCAGCTGTGTCCACGTGACACAGCCGAAGACACATCACTACGCCGGCCCGTTGCCAGTGTCATGTGACCGCTGTGACCAATTGCAGTAGATCACATGTCAATTGCATACAATGGATGGCTTCCCGTCATGCCATCCATTGTATACAATTATGTTGTTAGCTATGACTTGTCAAGGTAGTCACATGATACAGACAGGGCCAATCACAGCCCATCTGTATCATGTGATCAGCTTTGCCCAATCACAGCCAATCACAACAAAAGACTGAATGAATCAGTTTCATTCAGTAACAGATTGCAAATATCAATGAAATACATCGGTATTACCAATCATAATGTGTTAAAAAAAAAAAAAATTCATGATCACTTGACCAGAGTAGTTCAATGTTACTATGGTAACATTGTATTGCTTTGGTCACAGTGTGCTGCAAGATATAATAGTAAAAAAAAAAAAAAAAAAAATAGACAACATTTTATAAAAAAAAAAAACATTTGAAAAAAAAAAATACAAATTCAATCATTATTATTATTTTCACCAAAGAAATGTAGCAGAATACATTTTGACCTGAATTTATGCAGAAATCTTATTTATTTGCAAAAGTTATAACAGAAACGAAGAAAAGAGCATTTTTTTCCCCCAAAAGTTTCAGGTGTTTTTTGTTATATTTAGCAAAAAATAAAAAAACTCAGCGGTGATTAAATACCACCAAAATAAAGCTCTATTTGTGTGAAAAAAAATGATAAAAATGTACAGTGTTGCATGACCACGCAACTGTCTTTCAAAGTGCGACAGTGCTGAAAGCTGAAAATTGGCCTGGGCAGGAGGGGGGGGGGGGGGGGGGGAAGTGGTCGGTATTGAAGTGGTTAAGCATCTAAGAGTATGGAAAATACTTTACCCAACAACTACAATCCACAGCCTAGAAGGAACGGGAATCATAATTCATAGATATGCAGTCCTAACTTGCTTAGCTTTTAATGTTGCTCAAGGTTGACTGATAAGAAAAGAATATTTGATACACGATTTCTCTGTACAAAAAAAAAAAAAATGATAAAGTCCTTTCTATTAACAACTTATCTATTATCAACTCAGTTAATAACTTGACCCAGGGTTGTACCTACAGGGGTCGCAACTGTGAAATGGCCCCATGCTCCAGGGGGCCCATGCAGCTCCCCTGTACAACTGGATAGGATGGGCGGTGGGAGGCAGCATTTTCCTCCTGCAGCTGCTGAAAGCTGGCTTCTCCTCCATTCTCTCCTGCAAGCATTCAGCTGCATTCAGCTGCTGCAGGAGGAAAATGGAGGAGATCGGTACTTCTTTATGCCGCCCCTGCTATCCAGGTCCTGGTACCCCCCCCCCAAATCACTGTCAGGTTCCCCCCTTTCCTCTCCCGCTAGCTGCTGCGGGACATGTGTCAGGATGGAGAGCGGGGAAGGGGCTGGTAAATATTTAGTTTACTGGCCCCTTCCTTTTATGAATGGAAAGAGTCAATGATCCATACCGATCACAAAGGCTGGCCATACATTATACAATTTTCTTGAGATTTTTGGTTTAGATTTACCAAAACCATATAACAGGAGGTCAAAACTAATAACACTTTCAATTGTATTCCAATTAGGCAAGCCCTTGCACTACATAGTTGACGGTAAATCTAAAAGAAATTGGGCAGAAATTGGACAGAAATCTGTATAGTGTATGGCCAGCCTTACTCTGTCCATTCATAACTGAAGCATAGTAAACTGTTTACTATGCTTCAGTTTGTGAATGAATGGGAAGCCTCTGTACAAAGCTATTTCTGTCCAATCTTTTTACTACTGCTGGAGCTGCAGAGATGGAGATTGGGGGCTTGTGTCCTCAGTCTCCTTTCTCTGTCTCAAAGGTGAAACATCAGAGGTTTGCTTAGACCCCTCATATTTCACCAAAGCCCCCCAGCGGGGCTTTGAAAAAAAACTGTAAAGAAAATAATGAAAAATAAAAGTGTAACAATAAATAAATAAAAAGAAAAAAAAAAATAAAATAACAAAAATAAAAACTACTGACACCAGTGGCTGAACTACCAGGGTTGCAAAGGTCGCACTTGTGACTGGGTCCCAGCGTTCCCCCAACGAGTTTGGAGGGCCTCAGTCTGCAGTTGGGGGCTCTTCATGGTTTCACAGTTGGGCATCTTTGCCCTAACCCTCCAGCATACCTCTTTGACTTCTGATGCAACACACTAAAAATTTCTTCCCTCTTGAAGGGTGACGGAGTGTTAGAGAATGAAAAGTCCAAGACACCCTTCTTCAGTCTGACCTTCTTCCATCACTGCAACACGTGATAGATGACCTAAGACACCCATGTGGACTTTTCTCCTTAAAGTGTAACCACTAACGATGGACTCCTCTTATTTGTTCCCTTTTAGTCTGAAAATTCTCCAGTGAAAGTTTATTGTTTCAGAATTGCAAAAAATAACTGCGGATTGTGCCAGAAATCTTGTGAGCTGCCAAACGTCCTGTACAAGGAGGGGATATGGAGAAGAGAAAAGAGACAAGAGAGGGAGAGAAGAAAAGAGGGGGGGGGAGAGAAGAAAAGAGAGAACAAAAGAAAAGAGGAGAGAGAGGGAGAGAAGGGAAGAAAATAGGAGAGAAGAAAAGAGAAGAGAGGGGAGAGAAGAGAAGAAAAGAGGAGAGAAGTGAAGAAAAGAGGAGAGAAGTGAAGAAAAGAGGAGAGAGGGGAGAGAAGAGTAGAAAAGAGAAGAGAGGGGAGAGAATGAGGGGAGAGAATAAGAGAAAAGAGGAGAGCGGGGAGAGAAGGGAAGAAAAGAGGAGAGAGGAGAGAGAAGGGAAGAAAAGGAGAGAAGAGAGAGAAGGGAAGAAAAGAGAGAGAGGGAGAGGGAGAGAAGAGAGAAGAAAAGAGGAGAGAGGGGAGAGAAGAGAATAAAAGAGGAGAGAGGAGAGAGAAGGGAAGAAAAGAGAGGAGAGAGGAGAGAGAAGAGAAGGGAAAAAAGAGAAGAAAAGAGGAGAGAGGGGAGAGAAGAGAAAATCAGGAAGAGAAGAGGAGAGAGGGAGAGAAGAGAAGGAGAGAAAGAGAAGAAAAGAGGAGAGAAGGGAGAGAAGAGAAGAAAAGAGGAGAGAGGGGAGAAAAGAGGAGAGAGGGGAGAAGAAAGAGAAGAGGAGAGAAGAAAGAGGAGAAAGGGAGAGAAGAGAAGAGGAGAAAGGGGAGAGAAGAGAAGAAAAGAGGAGAGGAGAGAAAAAAGAGGAGAGAGGGAGGAGAAGAGAAAAGGGGAGGAGAGAGAGAAGAGGGTTCTGTTCTTTGTAATGCATTAAAAATGAAGTAGGCAGGGCTGACACCACGGGCCTTGAAATTCAGATTTAATAATAGACTGTCGTGCTCCTCCCTCCCTCTGTGACATCATCCATGGTTATTTTTCTGTAATGCAATGTGATTAATAAGATTAACCGCTTGTGGTCCAGCCCACTTACATATACGATGGCTGGGCGGCAGCTCTGTGCTAGATCACGTACCTAGTATGCGATCTGCTTTTTTGAGTTGGTGGGAATCAACTCCAGACCTTTTACCTACTTCATTGATGAAGAAATAA